GCTCCAGTGATCTGTTGAAGATCTGTGAGAAGATGGGGGCCAGCTGGTCAGCGCAGGTTTTCAGACAGGCTGGTGTCACACTATCTGGGCCTGGTGCTTTTCTTCTCTTGTTCTTTCGCTAGCATTTATTAACCATAGCATTGAAATTAGAAACATATTTATGCTGTATGTATACTCTCACACTTTATTTGCTTCTATTTTAGAACTCTTGATGATTATGTAATCAAAATAACAAAATATAATACTGATAAGAAAAAGAAGTGAAATGCGTTTCAGATTTGTTTGGTGTTTCTGGTTTCTGTTGACTGCAACAGATTGTAACAATCGTGACATTGAATGTTTGGATCTGACTTTTAACCACTTGAGGTACTACTAATGTTAGGCTGCTCTCGTACTGTATAATGACATCAGACCCTTCTCAGCTGCTCCAGCAATGGACGCAACCCAGAAAAGCTATCGGTATTCATTTTTGCAGATAACCGATTGTTTCAGCAATTTGTTATCAGTGCCAATTAAATGACAAAATCGATCAATCGGTCAACCTGTTGTCACGTTGCACACACACGAGGGACGAGGAGACGCTGGAGAATATGTTGACAGGACTTTATTTGCATGAACCAAGGGAGACGAACACAGGAAGACGTTCACAGGAAGACATTCACAGGAAGACGTTCAACAGCGGACAGAGAATATATGTATGTATGTATATATACATTATTGTACAGAGTGCAAGTAATTAGGTAGAGAAACAGAGACCAGCTCAATACAAATGACTGTAAATATAACATAAGTTGCAAGTGAACAAGTATAACACAGAGGGTGCATTATACAGAGTATATCAATATCAATAGTGTATTTTTCTGTATGGCCAGTGACCATAGCAGTGCAAATGGCATTAGGAGGTAGAAATGTGCAAAGGAATGTGCAAAATATCAGGAGGCATAATAAGAAACACTGTAAGTGTGCAGTGAACACAGGATACTGTACAGAGCAATTTGTTTAGGGTAAAATCTGCCCCTGTAATCATAATTTGTATGAAAAGCAAAAAAAAAAAAAAAGTTGGTGTTTTATTGTCTTTAGTGGTTACTTCACCGGGAAACTGCAGTGAAATGTATGTACAGGTGCAGTTTTGCAGAAAACTGGTAGTTTTATTCAGCGAAATTTGTAAGAAGAGTCCAAAAAAATCATTTCACCTGGGACAAATTAAACATGGGAAAGGAACACCTGGGGAGCAAGACACAGACAAAACATGGAACAGAGTCTGACACCTGTAGTGGCAAAGTTTCATTACACCATTTGTGGTATGTATCACGCCAGTTCAGAAATGAAATGTCCAGTGAGTGGAGCTAAATGGTTAATGCTATATTGCACTTTAAAATACCCTGAACCAAGAGTGTTACCTATAAGCAAATGTGAGATAAAAGGCATTTGCTAAAGCAGTCATGCCATTTTTGCTTTTCCATCTACAAGTATTTGAGCTTTTTTAGCATGACTTCACAGGATTCGTACATCATATGACATGGATTAAGTGATGCAAACATCAAACATTGTATTGTGCAAGGAACTGCTAGAAAATAAGCCTTTATTCATCAATAGATTAGATTAGATTAGATTAGATTAGATTAGATTAGATTAGATTTATGTATGTATATATACATTATTGTACAGAGTGCAAGTAATTAGGTAGAGAAACAGAGACCAGCTCAATACAAATGACTGTAAATATAACATAAGTTGCAAGTGAACAAGTATAACACAGAGGGTGCATTATACAGAGTATATCAATATCAATAGTGTATTTTTCTGTATGGCCAGTGACCATAGCAGTGCAAATGGCATTAGGAGGTAGAAATGTGCAAAGGAATGTGCAAAATATCAGGAGGCATAATAAGAAACACTGTAAGTGTGCAGTGAACACAGGATACTGTACAGAGCAATTTGTTTAGGGTAAAATCTGCCCCTGTAATCATAATTTGTATGAAAAGCAAAAAAAAAAAAAAAGTTGGTGTTTTATTGTCTTTAGTGGTTACTTCACCGGGAAACTGCAGTGAAATGTATGTACAGGTGCAGTTTTGCAGAAAACTGGTAGTTTTATTCAGCGAAATTTGTAAGAAGAGTCCAAAAAAATCATTTTGAAATTATGCAGTATTTTTATTTGAGTCATGTTTTACAGTTATTTGGTTCTGTTTTTAAGTGTCAATGAAAATGCAGTAGTTTATGTGAATGTGTGTATTTCTCAGACTGTGTTTTGTTCTGAATAGTCTGTGTAGTAGTTCTGTATTTATATTTCACTGTCTGACTGAAGGCACTTACTGTGGGCCTGTGTTGTTTAGTGCAGCGAGCAGAGGAAATATCAGAAGCTCTTCTGAATGCCAGAAAGAAAGAAAGCTCAGAGAAAGGAGGAAAAAAATTGAATATATTGAATATACTCTTCTCTCAGAAAATGCGGTTTTACAAAGATGCCCCTTTCAAGATAGATGAGACAAGGCTGTCACCATTGCACTCTGGGAAAATAACACTGGTCATTTTGATGTCTTTTCTTTTTGTTTTCCCAGATCGAGTTACAACAGTGAAGACCGACATTTACGTCACCAGTTTTGGCCCTGTTTCAGACACAGACATGGTGAGTGGAATTCTTTATTGTGCATTTATTTGTCACAGGCGGACAGATAGCATCTCTTTGCCATCACTATCAGCGTCATGGCCCAGCACATCACAGATTTTTTGAGCCAAGAACCACCTACCTAGACAAGAACAGACCGTCTGGCCAACCACAGATTGTTTACCTTGTAGACAGGCTGCAAAATGTTAATTATTTTTCCAAAAGAACAGGGATCATACAAAATGCATGTTATTTTTTATTTAGTACTCACCTGAATAAGATATTTCACATAAAAGACGTTTACATATAGTTCACAAGAGAAAATAATAGTTGCATTTATAAAAATGACCCTGTTCAAAAGTTTACACTTGATACTTAATACTGTGTTGTAATCTGCATGATCCACAGCTGGTTTGGTTTTGTTGTTCATGAGTCCCTTGTTGGTGCTGAACAGTTAAACTGCCTGCTGTTCTTCAGAAAAATCCTTCAGGTCCCACAGATTATTTGGTTTTCCAGCATCCTTTGTGAATTTGAACCCTTTCCAACAATGACTGTATGATTTTGAGAACCATCTTTCCACACTGAGTTCATACACAACTATTACAAAAGGTTCAAATGGTCACTGATGCTCAAGAAGGAAACACAATCTAAATTATTGTTAAAAATTATGTAAATTATTCTAAAATAACACTGATACATATAGTACCATTCACAAGTTTGGTTAGAAAGTTTTCTTTTTAATGTTTTGAACAAAGTCAATTATGCTCACCAGCGCTGCTTTTATTTGATCAAAAAATACAGTGAAAACAGTAATATTGTTAAATATATTACAACATATTATTATACTTTACAATATTATTTACAATTTAATTAAAATTGTAATTTAATTTCTATTTAAATATAATAAAATGTAATTTATTTGTGCTTATTTCTTGTTATTATCAATATTGAAAACAGTTGTGCTGCTTAATATTTTTGTGGAAATAACGATACCTCTTTTGGGATTGTTTGATAAATAGAAGGTTAAAACTTTTTTTATTTTATTTCTTTATTTTAAATAAAAAGGCTTTGAAACATAAATGTCTGTACTGTCACTTTTGATGTTGATCATTTTGATGATTTAATGTTTCCTTACTGAATAAAACTATTCATTCCTTTTAAACAGTAATGTACCTCAATCATCTGTGCAAATGTTTAGCGCGAAATTAGAGTAAAATATGTGTAAACATTGTGGTCTGAATTTCAATCCAGACAAATGTAAATGTTTTTTTTTTAACTAGCTCTGCTAGGTAGGAAAATCATTTTCTAGACAGCATCAATGTGCAATTACAGCGTTTACTCACTCTATTTAAAAATAATAATAATAATAATAATAATAATAATAATAATAATAATAATAATAATAATAATAATAATAATAATAATAATAATAATAATAATAATAATAATAATAATAATAATAATAATAATAATAATAATAATAATAATAATAGACACCATCCATTGAGATTGGATCTATTTTTGTATGCACTGAGCATCAGACAGTCCATAGATGTGACGTCTGAGTCTTAGACTACTTAATGTCTTGTGATGGCTCGTAACGCAGCTCAAACATTAGATAATGGCCAGGTCATGGGTTTCCAGGGAATACGCCTTGAGTGCAATGTAAGTCGCTTTGCACGAAAGCATCTGGCAAATGCATAGTTGTAAATGTGAATAACACAACAGCTGTTCAGTCTTTTATCTAACTGCTGGCTACAGAGGGCCGCCATCTGTACAGGTGTCATTTTTTTAAAAGCGCCACTGCTAATGTATTAATGGCCACACATATCAAGCAGCGAGCTCTGTTTGGATCCGTTTGGGCAAGCGGTCAGTGTAAATAACCAGTGGTCCACGGTGACCTGAATGAGTTTCATATCCGATGGTACCGAGGCAGGAAATGAAAGGCTTTGGCACCTGACTGCATCCGTGACACTCTGAATTAGTGCCTGTGACTCTAATGACTCACGCCATCGCTCTGACACTTCTCAATGGATTCAGAGCTTCTTAATGGAGTTTTTGTTCTGGGGAGATAACATATGACTCATGTAAGCCGCGTTGAATATGTGTGCTAACAATGCGCTCTGATTGTACTTGCACGTGATGTACTATACATTACATGCATACTTAACAGCCCACCCTGGAGCTTCAAATAAACTTTAATCGAAAGCCATTAAAAAAACATGAAACTTTGATTCAGCTGCAAACAAACTAACAAAGCAAATTAACAATCAGTGCATACAGCTGCACAAGTCTTGCTTGTCTTTGCAGTATTGCTTTTTCATGCTTTCCAATACAGAAATGTATAACCACAGTTTCTGCAAAATACCACAGTAGTGTGTATAGTTGGTGATGTAATACTCATTTTTTGTTATTAAACAGTATAAAAAATGTAGCGTTTAAAGATAATGATATAAATAAATAGAAGCACAGGTCCTTGAGAACTGCAAGGCATTTCTGCCTGTCGCACACCAATGGGCCAGCCACAAGGTCATCAGCTGGGAGCCACCCACCTACCGCTCCCTGTGGCTGGCCCTATGACCTTTAGTTTCCCCCCCTGGGGTCATTCCTTCTGAACCACAACCAGAAGCTCCCTTTCTCTGCCTCCTCAGCCAGTTCCCTGAGTGCCGCCTTTTGCTTTGATCCAGTAATTCCAAACTTCTTCAACAGCTTTTGGATGGATTTATGTACAGGTGCAGTTTTGCAGAAAACTGGTAGTTTTATTCAGCGAAATTTGTAAGAAGAGTCCAAAAAAATCATTTTGAAATTATGCAGTATTTTTATTTGAGTCATGTTTTACAGTTATTTGGTTCTGTTTTTAAGTGTCAATGAAAATGCAGTAGTTTATGTGAATGTGTGTATTTCTCAGACTGTGTTTTGTTCTGAATAGTCTGTGTAGTAGTTCTGTATTTATATTTCACTGTCTGACTGAAGGCACTTACTGTGGGCCTGTGTTGTTTAGTGCAGCGAGCAGAGGAAATATCAGAAGCTCTTCTGAATGCCAGAAAGAAAGAAAGCTCAGAGAAAGGAGGAAAAAAATTGAATATATTGAATATACTCTTCTCTCAGAAAATGCGGTTTTACAAAGATGCCCCTTTCAAGATAGATGAGACAAGGCTGTCACCATTGCACTCTGGGAAAATAACACTGGTCATTTTGATGTCTTTTCTTTTTGTTTTCCCAGATCGAGTTACAACAGTGAAGACCGACATTTACGTCACCAGTTTTGGCCCTGTTTCAGACACAGACATGGTGAGTGGAATTCTTTATTGTGCATTTATTTGTCACAGGCGGACAGATAGCATCTCTTTGCCATCACTATCAGCGTCATGGCCCAGCACATCACAGATTTTTTGAGCCAAGAACCACCTACCTAGACAAGAACAGACCGTCTGGCCAACCACAGATTGTTTACCTTGTAGACAGGCTGCAAAATGTTAATTATTTTTCCAAAAGAACAGGGATCATACAAAATGCATGTTATTTTTTATTTAGTACTCACCTGAATAAGATATTTCACATAAAAGACGTTTACATATAGTTCACAAGAGAAAATAATAGTTGCATTTATAAAAATGACCCTGTTCAAAAGTTTACACTTGATACTTAATACTGTGTTGTAATCTGCATGATCCACAGCTGGTTTGGTTTTGTTGTTCATGAGTCCCTTGTTGGTGCTGAACAGTTAAACTGCCTGCTGTTCTTCAGAAAAATCCTTCAGGTCCCACAGATTATTTGGTTTTCCAGCATCCTTTGTGAATTTGAACCCTTTCCAACAATGACTGTATGATTTTGAGAACCATCTTTCCACACTGAGTTCATACACAACTATTACAAAAGGTTCAAATGGTCACTGATGCTCAAGAAGGAAACACAATCTAAATTATTGTTAAAAATTATGTAAATTATTCTAAAATAACACTGATACATATAGTACCATTCACAAGTTTGGTTAGAAAGTTTTCTTTTTAATGTTTTGAACAAAGTCAATTATGCTCACCAGCGCTGCTTTTATTTGATCAAAAAATACAGTGAAAACAGTAATATTGTTAAATATATTACAACATATTATTATACTTTACAATATTATTTACAATTTAATTAAAATTGTAATTTAATTTCTATTTAAATATAATAAAATGTAATTTATTTGTGCTTATTTCTTGTTATTATCAATATTGAAAACAGTTGTGCTGCTTAATATTTTTGTGGAAATAACGATACCTCTTTTGGGATTGTTTGATAAATAGAAGGTTAAAACTTTTTTTATTTTATTTCTTTATTTTAAATAAAAAGGCTTTGAAACATAAATGTCTGTACTGTCACTTTTGATGTTGATCATTTTGATGATTTAATGTTTCCTTACTGAATAAAACTATTCATTCCTTTTAAACAGTAATGTACCTCAATCATCTGTGCAAATGTTTAGCGCGAAATTAGAGTAAAATATGTGTAAACATTGTGGTCTGAATTTCAATCCAGACAAATGTAAATGTTTTTTTTTTAACTAGCTCTGCTAGGTAGGAAAATCATTTTCTAGACAGCATCAATGTGCAATTACAGCGTTTACTCACTCTATTTAAAAATAATAATAATAATAATAATAATAATAATAATAATAGACACCATCCATTGAGATTGGATCTATTTTTGTATGCACTGAGCATCAGACAGTCCATAGATGTGACGTCTGAGTCTTAGACTACTTAATGTCTTGTGATGGCTCGTAACGCAGCTCAAACATTAGATAATGGCCAGGTCATGGGTTTCCAGGGAATACGCCTTGAGTGCAATGTAAGTCGCTTTGCACGAAAGCATCTGGCAAATGCATAGTTGTAAATGTGAATAACACAACAGCTGTTCAGTCTTTTATCTAACTGCTGGCTACAGAGGGCCGCCATCTGTACAGGTGTCATTTTTTTAAAAGCGCCACTGCTAATGTATTAATGGCCACACATATCAAGCAGCGAGCTCTGTTTGGATCCGTTTGGGCAAGCGGTCAGTGTAAATAACCAGTGGTCCACGGTGACCTGAATGAGTTTCATATCCGATGGTACCGAGGCAGGAAATGAAAGGCTTTGGCACCTGACTGCATCCGTGACACTCTGAATTAGTGCCTGTGACTCTAATGACTCACGCCATCGCTCTGACACTTCTCAATGGATTCAGAGCTTCTTAATGGAGTTTTTGTTCTGGGGAGATAACATATGACTCATGTAAGCCGCGTTGAATATGTGTGCTAACAATGCGCTCTGATTGTACTTGCACGTGATGTACTATACATTACATGCATACTTAACAGCCCACCCTGGAGCTTCAAATAAACTTTAATCGAAAGCCATTAAAAAAACATGAAACTTTGATTCAGCTGCAAACAAACTAACAAAGCAAATTAACAATCAGTGCATACAGCTGCACAAGTCTTGCTTGTCTTTGCAGTATTGCTTTTTCATGCTTTCCAATACAGAAATGTATAACCACAGTTTCTGCAAAATACCACAGTAGTGTGTATAGTTGGTGATGTAATACTCATTTTTTGTTATTAAACAGTATAAAAAATGTAGCGTTTAAAGATAATGATATAAATAAATAGAAGCACAGGTCCTTGAGAACTGCAAGGCATTTCTGCCTGTCGCACACCAATGGGCCAGCCACAAGGTCATCAGCTGGGAGCCACCCACCTACCGCTCCCTGTGGCTGGCCCTATGACCTTTAGTTTCCCCCCCTGGGGTCATTCCTTCTGAACCACAACCAGAAGCTCCCTTTCTCTGCCTCCTCAGCCAGTTCCCTGAGTGCCGCCTTTTGCTTTGATCCAGTAATTCCAAACCTCTTCAACAGCTTTTGGATGGATTTACCAACGAAGCCTCTGCATCCCACTTCAACAGGGAAGATGCATGATTTCCACCCTGTTTCGGTACACGCTGCCACTAGTTCACTATATTTCTCTTTTCTCCTCTTAAATGCTGAATCCATCATCTCTTCCCACAGTACTGTGAGCTCTGCCATGATTACTGTCTTGGCAGAGATGGACTACAGGATGATGTCTGGCCGCAGAGAGGTTTAATATATTAATATTGATGGAAGCCCTTTTCTACCACAGAATAAAAAAATAAGGTAATTACAACTTTTCATTGCACAGTTAAGAATTTGTTTCTTAAAATTCTGAGAAAAAAATAGTCAGAATTGTGAGATTCTGACTTTAAAGCTCACAAATATGACGGTCAGAATTGTGAGATGCAAATTCTTGCGAGGAAAATGTCAGAATTGTGAGAGAAAAAGTCATAATTACCTTTTTTTATTTTTTATTCTGTGGCAGAAACAAGCTGGCATAAATATTTGCAAAACTTTGTCAGCAAAATAAATATGCATTTTGTTGTCATGTGACAAGGCCTAATACAAGAAATGACACAGAGAGAACGTACTCATTCCCTGAGATACGGCAACGAGTACTGTGTCTTGCTAAAGACGCTATGGGAAAAAGCCTTTTTTTCTCCAGAACTGAAGCCTTTTTCAGTCACGCAGTGAAAATGCATGGCCATTGATTCGTGCAGTGCATTAAAAAACGAACCAATGGCGACAAAACCCGCCAGAATGGGCGGAGCCATCTGGCTATATAAGCGGGCATTCGCCACAGGATTCTCAGATTTCTTCTCCTTCAGCAACGACTCTACTCTCAATGCTGATCCCGAAAGCCTTCTCGCCGTTGACACGCCTCGCAGCTGGACTGAGACCTCTCTGCTCGGCTGACCTGCTTCTTCGCTTCAGCATCGCAGCAGCCCCGGTCTTGTTCCCCTGCCGCCATCCGGCACTTAAAGCCTATGGCGACAAAGCCCGCCAGAGCCCGCCACAATGGGTGGAGCCATCTGGCTATATAAGCGGACATTCGCCATAGGATTCTCAGGTTACTTCGACTGAAGCGATGACTGAGTCGTGCAGCTACATAGCATGGCTAGCAACGCAGTACTCGTTCCCCTATCTCAGGGAACCGAGGTTACATTAGTAACCGAGTACGTTCCCTGTCGATACTTCACTCGTACTGCGTCTTGCTAAAGTCGCTATGGGAACACAGTAAAATCACGCCGTGCTATGGTAGAGGAACGACTGTATATTATAACCTCCATAAGCAAGAATGCCCATAGGGAAGTTAAACAATGAACTCCAAGGCTTAAACGGACTGAACTCCCCGAGGTCACGCCCGGCCTGGGTAATCGTTCCAGAGTACTCATACAACTTCGGCGCCCCAGGGGCGTAAACTAATGTGAGGCCGCTATAGCTGCTACATATACTTTGAGCATGGATGGGGAGCGTCCCTTATACAGCAGCTCTTGTAGGAATGACAAAACCACTGATAGGTCAGAGGTTAATGGGTCTTTGCCGCGGTTAAAGCACCAAGCGGAGAAAATAGACCACTTAAGGGCGTAGAGGCGTCTTGTAGACGGGGCTCTAGCCTCCTAAATAGTGTTTAAAACTCACTCTGGGAGGCTTGTAGGCTCCCGTCGAGCGGCCAAAGGTGCAGGGCCCACAGATTGGGTCGAGCGTGCCGTATTGTCCCGTTTGCTTGAGAGAGGAGATCTCGTCTCAATGGAATGGGCCAGGGGACTGCTACCAGCAGCCGGGTTAGCTCTGATAACCAAAGTTGGTTCTTCCAGAGGGGGGCCACCAAGAGAACCCTGTGTCCCTGTTCCCTGATTCGCCTGATTACCTGTGGGATCAGGGCGATTGGGGGAAATGCGTAAAGGAGGAGGTTGGGCCAATCATGGGCCAACGCGTCCCTGACCTTCGAATAATAAATTGGGCAATGAGAGTTGTCTTCTGAGGCAAAGAGGTCTACCTCGGCCTTGCCGAAGATCTCACAGATTGTTTGAACTGTCTGCGGATGGAGCATCCACTCCTCTGAGGGGACATTGCTCCGTGATAACATGTCCGCTCCCTGGTTCAATATGCCCGGTACATGCACTGCCTTTAGCGAGCGCAGGTTGAATTGAGCCCATTCCAGAAGGTGCTCTACCAGAATGAAGCGGCGCTTAGAGGAGAGGACTCCTTGATGATTTATGTAAGACACCACAGACATGTTGTCCGAGCGGATTAGCACATGGTGTCCTTTCAGGACTGGCAGGAAGAACTGACAGGCTCGACACACTGCAAGCATTTCCAAGCAGTTGATGTGAAGCCCTTTTTCCGCTTTTGACCAATGGCCGAAAGTCGGTTTGCCCTTGCACAGCGCCCCCCAACCTGTGTTGGAGGCATCTGTC